ATATCTCACCTAAATCTCCCCTCCTTGAGTTTTAATCCATTCCCCCTTGTCCTCTCCCTCCAGCCCTTGGATCATCTCCATGGCTCCTCTGGACCCTCTCCAACAGCTCCATATTTTCCTGTGCTGAGGGCTCCAGAACTGTTGGCAGTTCTGGGAAATGCTGTTTGTGACTCTCTCTTGCTGGGTGGGCACAGCTGGGAACTGGGAGCACAGCTGAAAAAGAAAAAGAGTGGGTGTGTGTTACACATCTCTGGGTGTCAGCACCCAGCTCCTGGCTGGGAGGGGGATGAGGGGCCAGGCTCCCCTTCCTCCTCACCCCCTCTCTGGGCAGTGGGGGAAGGTGCTGGGGTTTCCAGGGCCTGGCTCTGCTCTGCTCCAGGGCTGAGGAGCTGCTTGTCAGATGATTGATGGGGATTGATCCCCCTGGCTCAGCAGAACATGAGGTGCTGGTGTTTCTGGAAAGCTGGAGAGTGGGGAGGTTTCCTGGCTCTGCCATCCCCGGGGAGGAGCAGCCCACAAAGCCATCAGCTCAGCCTTTTAAAACCTAAGTGCTCATCATCTCCAAAGAGGTGCATTAACAAGCCCAGGCCTGAGAGCAGGGGCTCCAAGGGCTGCCTGGAGAGTGGAAATGTGAACCTCCTTCAGGAGCTGCCCCTGGCATTGAGCAGCACCTGGGAGGAGAAAGAGGAGGAGGAGGATTTACTCCTGTTTTTTCTCTTCAAAATCCTCAAAATGAGCCAAGTCCTGGGATTTTTCCTGGAATCTGGAACCACAGCAGAGGTACCAGCTGCTGCTTCAGTGGAGGGAACAGACTAGAGGTGTCACTGGCAAATGTTTGCTACAGCCCTGGGTATGTCAGTAAAAAACTGCCAGGAAGAGAGATGCTGGGGACCCAAATATGGTCAGAGGTTTATCCAGGGCCTTTGCCACTCAGCCCAACAGGCTCTTCTGAGCTAATGGAAATATTTCTCTGTTGACAAATTGGTAAAACCCAATGGCAGCACCTGTTGCAGTGGGGACCTGCCTCCTTTCCTCCCCCTGCACCCTCCCTGCCCTGCTGTTCTGCTGGCACAGGAGGATTTTTACACAGCCACCCTGCTCAGCTGACCCAGCCTGAGGGCCCTGAAGCTGCTCCAGGACAGGCCACCACATTTGTTTCTCAATTTTTTCCTTGAGACTCCTCTCTTCTCTCCCTTCCCCAGCCCTGGCATGAGGGACCTCTTCTGGTCTCACTTTATCTTGAAAAAAAGAAAGCAGACTGAAACCCAGCCCTTTGCAGGAGACATACATTGCATTTTTTCTGAGCATTACCTGGTAACAAAATGCCAAACAGAGCTAAAAGTGGATTGTCCCTCACAGAGGGTCTGCAAGAGCCAGATCTGGTATTTTCTCTTGGCAGGTTTGTCTCACTAAACCCTCATGAAATCCTGGGGGGGCCCATATGGGAGCTGGAGAGAGATGTCCTGCTTTAAGGTGTTGAGTCAACAGGAAAACACACATATAGATGGATCCTGGAGCTACAGTGACTGACTTGTTTTCCTCTTGTTTTCATTTGCTCTGTGGAATGATTATTCCTAATTTCTGCTGGTGCTGATCTTGTTTCCCCCCTGTTGAATTTGATTCTGTGCAGTTTGCTGCTCCATTAGCACAACGTGGCACCAATTGCACCTCTGTGTAAACAGGAATATTACTTGGTATATTTACTTACTTGGAAAACTCAGCACTTTTCCAGATTGATCTTGAACCTGCCCTTGAAACACCTCCAGGGATGGGGCAGCCACAGCTTCTCTGGGCAACCTGGGCCAGGCTCTCACCACCCTCATGATGAAGAATTTCTTCCTAGTGTCTCATCTAAATCTCCCCTCTTGCAGTTTTAATCCATCCCCCCCCTTGCCCCAAGGTCCTCCCTGCTCTTGCCCCAAGTCCCTCCTTACCCTGGGGGCTCCAGAGCTGCATGTAGCTTGACTGGCTTCAGTCAGTAACTTTTCTCCCTGCTGTTTTTCTCTACAGGTGATGAGGTGGGAGACTTTCCTTGTGGAGAGGAGCCTCCTGCCAGGCAGTGTGAGAGTGGGACCACCTGCAGGGAGTACTGGCAAGGGCCCAACTATGGCATCACCAACTTTGACAACATCCTCTTTGCTGTGCTCACCGTCTTCCAGTGCATCACCATGGAGGGGTGGACAGACATCCTCTACAATGTGAGTCCACCCACGGGGCTGCAGGACTCCTGGGCTGCTGGTGGGCATCGTGGGAGCTTGGGGAAGGTGGTTTTTGGAAAAGGTTATCCTGGGGAAAAAAAAAAAAAAGTGGTGTAGTTGGTGCATTTTCCCCCCTGTTGATTTAGCACCTCACGCTGGGGTTTAGGAGGATTTGTTACCTTGAGGGTTGTTCTGGGGGACCAGTAAGAGCTTTTGAAGCACTCTCGTGGCCTGGGGTGGTTTGAGGCTGCAGACTTGCTCACCTGCAGCATGTTCCCAGGTGCCAGGGTGGTGTTACCCTGGGTCAGACATGGGCTGCGTCCCTGCAAGGTGCTGGTGGGCTCTGCTGCAGGATGGGCTGGGAGCAGGAGCAGGTTCTCATGGTATCCCATGGAAGGGCAGTCACCAAATTTCACACTATAGGGTGGCAAAACCAGTGACTAGTGAGTATTTTGTAGCTGGAGGTTTCCTCTCTTGACTGGGTCTGGCCTTTGTGGTCAGACTTGTGATGTCAATGACCAGCATCTGCTGGATGTCAGCACTGAGATGGTTGGACCTGATGATCTTAAAGGTCTTTTCCAACCAGAACAGTTCTGTGATCCAGCACTAGTTTTGGCAATTCCAGTGGAGTTTTGCACAGCCCTGTCAGTCACCTTCACACCTGGCATGGCTCTGGAGAGAAGATGCCCCAGACTGAGCTTCCTCACTAGGGTCTTTGCTGGTTGTGCCTCCTGCCAGCCAGGACCTGGGCTGTCTCAGCCACTCCAGGTCAAAACCTCTGGGTCAGTTTTGCTGTTCCCAGGTTTACAGAGTAGGGCAACTTCACCCAGTTAGCAACACCTGAAGGACTGGCTTCCAGGCAGTGTGATGCTCTTGTGTACAAACCCACTCAGGGGCTGGAAGGAGAGAGCAAGTGCTGCTGCTGGTAACGTGTGGCTGCACTGGCTGCTGCTTTCTGCTGCCTGTAGGAGGAAGGACAATCTGCCCTGCACAGGGGATCAGGATCAGCCCACACTGTTCTAGCCAGGAGTGCCAATGTGGAAAAAGAACTAGGGCAGGCATTAATAAAGCCTCCAGACCATTGCCCTGGCCCATTGAGCTACAAAGTGTTCAGTCTGCTTCATTACAGACTCCAGCCCCACAGACCTTCCTGTGAGGTTTCTGTAGCAGCAGGAAGGTATTATTCATATCAACCACAGTAAATTGCAAGGTAGAATTCTGCTGTGTTTGAAGCCAATATATCTGATTTATTACCTTCTCCAGTCATTGCTTGGTTCCTCCATTTCATCCCAGTCTCTGCCCACTAAAGAGCCATTTCTAGAAAGGCCCATTTGCCCACTGCATGCCCTGCCCTCCCTCTGAAACCTCAGCACACAACTGGTCTCTCCCCCCCCTCATCCAGCAACCCCCCTCCTTCCTGCTGGTGGCAACTGTTGTAAGAAAAGCCCATTAGCCCCCTGGCTGGGATTGATTAATCCATACATGGTGGATTAGGTCATCTTCTCTCAAACCACCTTTTGTACCACATGCAAAAAAACCCCCAGAGCTTACTATTGGGGTATTGATTTTGGAGGTTGCTTTGCAAACCAAGATGGTATCATTCTGGAGAGTCATTGATCTGATCAGGAGCAGGTGCCTGAAGGAGAAGGGGTTGAGTGTCTGATGGAGGATGTCAAGCCTTGTCTGAGACCCCAGCTTAGGTGTTCATAGTGGTTGGGCTCATGTCTCAGAAATGAGGGTCTCTGGATGGGGTGGAGATTGAGTAGTGTGTGTCTTGCCATGAGACCACTCTGCAGAGTGTCTGTGGCCACCTCTGTCCCCTCTCCCCTGGCCCTGCCCCACGTGCTGTGTCACCCCTTCCCTGTGCTGCTCTGCTTGCGGAGGACCTGGTTGTGCTGCTGCAGGTCAGCAGCTGAGAAAAGGTGTGGGTGGAGAAGATCCACTCTGCACAGCCCTTCACTTCTTCACAGCTTCAGTCATCTGAGCTTTTCTGGCCACTTGGCTTTGTCTTGGGTTCTTCTGGGCCTCCTCCAAGTTCATCACATTGAACAATGAAGCAACAGTTATAACCACACTGAAGCAGTGACTGAAAACGTGGTGTGGTGGGTGTTTGCTGGTGTGATGGTCACTGTGCAGGGGTAAGAGCTGTGCAGCTGGTCTGTCAGTCCAGCATCACCTCAGTGCTGCCTGAACCAGCTGGATCTGAGCTGGGCTCACACTGGGCTGAGGTGGGAAGAAGCTGGAAGGTGTTGCCTCTTGCATCCAGCACTTGGATGGTGGTGTAAGGGCACGTGTGTCAGGTCCTGCTCCTTGGCCTCTCTTGGCTCAGACAGTGCGTGAGTGTCAGGGGTTGTCACTTGTTCAGGGAGCTTGGATCCACCATTTGGTTCCTGGTTTTGGCTGGGAAAATCCTTCCATGGTGGAGGTGATTTCCCTTGGTGGGAATGTGGCTTTGCCAGGGACAGAGAGGCCAGAGAGCTCCTGTGAGGAGCTGCTGGAAGCTCTCCCAGCTCCAAGGTCCAGATCTGCCTCTGGCCAAGCCAGAAGTTGAAGGTGAAACCCTCTGGCATGAACATATTTAAGAAAGGGCAAAGGGAACTGCAAAAAGACCTTCAGGAGAGAGGAGAGGGGGTGGTGAGAGCAATACCTGAGCAGACACAGCAAGGTCAGTGAGAAATGAGGGGGGAATTGCCAAGCAGGGAAAGCTGTTGCTCCCCAGATGTAGCAGAGCCCTTCCCTCCCCCCTCCCTCGTGTGCCCACTGCCCCGGGGTGGGTTTGGCTGGGCTGGGTTGTCACCTTCTCCTACAAACCCCCTCCCTTCCTCCTGGTGCAGCACAGCCCCCCAACACCAGTGGCAGGGCTGGCATCCCTGGGGTGCCAGGCAGGGCAGGGCTGGGATGCATTAGGAGGAAGCTGAGGTTACAGGCTGCTTCCTTAATGGGACATTAATTTCTTCTGGAAAATGGGGATTGATTTGCTTGCCCTGCTTCAGCAGGGCTTGGGCTAGTGCTCCTCTTTCTCTGCTGTGCTACAGTTGTGGGGTGCTCAGAAGGGGTTGGATTTTTAGGTTGCAGTGGTGGTGGCTCCAGGGTCAGTCCCAGGGTGAGATGGGCTCTAGAAGTTCAGCAGTAACATCACCAAAGGACAGAGATTGCTCTGTCCTGAAAGCAGCTTTGCTCCTCTGCTTTGCCCTGGTGAGGCCACATCAGAAGAACTGTGTCCAGTTCTGGGCTCCCTGGTTCAAGAAGGACACAAAAGAGCTGGAAAGGGGCCAGCAAAGGCCTAGGAAGGTAATGAGGGGACTGGAACATCTCTCTGGTCTCAGGAAAGACTGAGGGACTTGGGTCTGTTTAGTCTGGAGAAGAGAAGACTGAGGGGGGGGTTCTTATCAATGCTTATCAATGCATTCAGGGTGTGGGTATCAGGAGGATGGGACCAGGCTTTTTTCAGTGGTGCCCAGTGACAGGCCAAGAGGTAATGGGCATAAACTTGAACATAAGTAGTTCTGTCTTAACATAAAGAGGAACTTCTTGACTTTGAGGGTGGCAGCTGGAACAGGCTGCCCAGAACAGTTGTGGAATCTCAATTTCTGGAGACATTCAAAACCCACCTGAATGCCATTCTGTGCAACCTGCTCCAGGTGAACCTGCTCTGCCAGGGGAATTGGACTAGATGATCTCCAGAGGTCCCTTCCAACCCTTAACATGGTGATTCTGGGGGACTGAAAGGTTGGTCTGTGGTGTCATCAGGCAAACTGAAGAGTTTGGTATAAACTGATTTTCAGAGAAGAGAAAGTTTGGGCTTGAGTTTGATGGTTTGGCTCAGGACTTTCCTAAGTGAGAGGCTTGTTGGGAGGTTGTTGAGGTTATTCAGTCGTTTCTCAAGGGCTGAGATGACTTAATACCTGGCCAGATGCAGACTGCAGATCTAGAGAAAAACAGCACCAAAGGTGAGGCTTTGCAGGAAATCATCTACATTGCAAATATTCACTCCCTCTCCTGTGATAAATTGAGCAATTAAGGGGGCAGGAAGAATGCAGGTTCACAAACCTCAGCCCAATTTTTCCTTGCTGAGCTGTTGTTTATACTTTTCACAGTGTTTAAGTTTAATTAGGGCCAATGAAAGCTTTCTAGTAAGGCTTGATCTGGGAGGTGATTTATGCCTGAGGCAAAAAGACTGAATCATCAATTGGGTGAAATGCTTTAGGAATCAGCTGGGGAAAACTCCTTCCTGAATCAGCAGCCTCAGAGCTCTGAACAAGCATTTCTGTTGTGTGAGCTGCAGGTTTGTCACCTGGGGCCTGGTTCTACTCAAGAAGGTCCAAGGAGCAACAGGTGATTTGGGAAAGTTTTTGTGGTCTGAGTGCAGGGAGGAACCTTTTCTCCAGCAAATGGAGAGTGTTCCTCCTCATCTGAGCCTTCAGCATGAGTTGAGAAGGGATTAAAATAGAGTCACTGAACTGTTTTCCTCAGTGTGAGAGGACTTGGTGGCCCAGTCCTGTGTTGTGGACAGGTTTTTTTTCAGTCTAATCCAGTGCAGACAGATCAGATGTTCCTGAAGTATGGGGGAGCATCTTCTGGATCCTGAAATGAGAAGTTCCCCTGGAGCAGCAGTCCAGTGTGGGCAGCAGTGTTGCTGATGTGTGACATCTGAGGGTAAGAGAGCACTGGGACAAGTTGCCCACAGATGGAGTCTCCATCCCTGGAGACATTCCAACCCCACCTGGATGTGTTCCTGTGGGATCTGCTCTAGGGGATCCTGCTCTAGCAGGGGGTTGGACCAGCTGATCTCCAGAGGTCCCTTCCAACCCTGACCATTCAGTGATTCTGTGAATGTGCCTTTGAGTAGCAAACTCAATGTCTTTTTCAGCAGCTGTGGGACTAGTTCAGTCCCAGGCTGCTCAAATGACAAGAGTTGTTTCCCAGTTATGTGGACCAGCCCCTTGACTGCTGTGTCCTGGTTTGGTGACTCTGGCACAGGTTCTGCTCTGGGCTCTGCT